ACAAACTTACCGTCAAGTACCTGATAGGGAACCTGACACACTTGGGTTACATTGCAAATTAACGGATTCCAGCTAAATGTGAATTTCTATAACTTCAGGAGATAGAGAACCAAACAAGAACTTGATACCCTTGTGGTTCCCTCATAGCTGTACGAGGTCAATTGGACACAACTGGAAGCGATGTGACTGCCTGCACTGTTTCTGCCTGCATTGCACTGTTTCCAGTGGTCACTTATCCTTTGACCAACTAAAGTACTTATATCGTTCAAGTGATGTCATCAAGGTGTATTAACAAGGACCTTATATCAATACATCACTTGAACACTTGAGAATTCATTCAAGCCTTCTACAAAATAGTGAACTTAATTCTCAAGATCTTGAAGAGCAAAGTTAAATGCTACTACGGACCAGTTCCTAAATCTAGTATTTTGTTGTCCTTAGTTGAGTTATATTCCTAAATCTAGTATTTTGTTGTCCTTAGTTGAGTTATAACTTTGTGATTGTTCTTATTGTATCTCCTAAAGTTTAGCTAGAAGCGTTGATTAGGAACCCTCTTGTAAAATTCATAAACTCTCTGAGTTTGTGTTGTGACTAGAGTTAGTCATAAGTTAAAGTCTTTGTAACTAGAGAGTGACAAAGTGATTTGTGGTAAGAGAATCACAAGTTAGTTGAGTTGAAGTTTTTGTAATGGAATCATTACAAAGTGGCTTGTAATAGGTGTTTACAAGTTAGTGAAGTTGAAAGTCTACAAGTGTAGGTCGTGGTTTTTGTCCCCTTGAGTTGAGATTTTTCCACGTAAAAATCTCGTGTCTTATTTACTTATTGTTTCATTAGCATTCTCAGTAAAAACTCATAGAGGACCAAGTACTCTATTGTTTGGTGGACTCATATAAACTAACAAACAAATTGGGATATTTTGACATATTGGGAAAAGTGGTCACTGAAAAAAATATTCAGGATTTGCAAATGATCGATTTAGCGTCAGATTAGTGAAGGATCAGAATTCTTCGCGAAATTTTTCCAAAATTAATTTTCTGAGACAAAATCTTAACTTATTGCAAATACTAGCCACGGCCAAGTCTGTCGCAAATTAAAGCCAAAATAGAAAAAAAAGATGAAAATGAAACTAGAGAGGAGGTGGTTTAACAATATTAATTCTTGATAAATGCACTCTTGGGTTTACTATCTGATTTAATATTTTAAAGACCTGGATTCTCAAAAAAGTCTTGGTGTTTTCTGCTTTATTGTTAAAAAATGACATTTTGGGGTCAAGTAGTCTTGTATTTTGCTTTTCGCGGAACAATTCCGTGACTTGTTATTCCTATCTCTTTCCTCATAGCACGAATATCCAGGCAATAGAGGACCTATAGAACATCTGAATATAAGTTAGACGGTGTTTGGCTAAGCTTCCAAGCGTGTCAAACTGATTTATAAGCATATTTTGGCTTATTTACGTGTTTGATAAATACCTAAAACTAAAATCAATCATAAGTCATAAGTTGGTCATCTCCAACTTAGGTCTTTAGCTTAGAAAGAATTACAAGAAAATACACATGACTTCACACCATAACAAAAAATGGCTCATGTTTCTAAGCTTTACCCGACCTAGCCCATATTGTACATATTTGAAAATACTAGCCCTTGCAAATTCAAAATCTGTGTTCTTACAATCATTGCTTATAAAAGTTATAGAGTTAAATTTGTGTTCTCACATCTATTGCTTTCATATTCTCTTCTTCTCACATCTTTTACATATGCTAGGGGTCGTTCGCCATTACTGCTTCTCCTCCTATGTCACCTGGTTGCAACGTAAAAGTTAAAGAGCAGAAGTACACCATTGAATGACATTCAAAGCTTTGCTTTCGAAAATAGAATGTTTTGAGTTTGGATTGGGTGTTGTTCCAATTGATTGAAATATCAAAAGGAGTTCAAAATTTAAATTTGAAGTGATTTGGAGTAGATTTGAGCAAGATTTGAGTTAAATTTCAGAAAATACGCAAGGAAGAATACGAAGTCAGTTTTTTGTATAATTATGTATAATCTTGTATAATAGTATATATGAGTGTATAAACACATCTTATACACTATTATACACTTTTATACACCTTTATATAAGTGTCTGTTCAGACGAACTTCTTTCACGATTTTCCATTAAATGACTTCAAATTTTATATACAACCTCCTTATACTATTTCTAATAAGTTTCAATAACACCCACTCCAAACTTCTCACAAAATCAAATTCGGAATTTAAACCAACATATTTAAGTTTGTTAAAAATCTAATTTACACCACCCAAATGGATTTGGTTTATTCAACTAATATTTGAGTCACAGTTATTGATTCGAAAATTAACTTCAAAGCTTGAGCAATTTTTTTAAAAAATTAAATAGTAATTTTGAGAACCTATTGGAATTGAATGTTGAATCTTAACCTATTATTTTTGGGCTAGTTGGTTGTAAATTGAAATATGGCTTATAGAATTTAAAAGTAGAGAGTCTAGTTGTTCTTATGTAAAAATTTTCCTTTAGCTTATAAGCACTTTTAGTTTGACCAAAGCTTTTACTAGTTTATCCTTAATAATATTTTTTAATTCACAATATATTTTTCCCAAAATAAATTTTCTAGCTTTCTTTTCATTCCATATTCGTTGTTCATCTTTTTCTTTATAAAGAACCTTTTTAATTTAAAATATTTTTTAAAGTTTTTAATGATATTTTAGTCATTTTAATAAAAGAACAACTTATCAGCACTTCTCTACCAAACACATCAACTACTTATTATCAGTTTCATCACGTTTATCCAAACACATAAATGTTTATTTAAAAAATTAATTTCAACACTTAAAAATATTTTTCAACACTTTAATCTTATCAGCTATTTACAATCAGCTAATCACTTGCAAATAATGGCTTTACTACTTGGTCCTCATGGATAGCGGGAGATTCATCATAAATACACACATGAAAATTTTCCAAAACTATTAGTTTTAAATTTTAAATTTTGAATGCATAATTCTAAAGAACTAAGAACCTTGTACAGATCAAGTTTAAATATTTATTTTGTCTTTGTATTCTAGGTCAATTGTTTTTCCCCCTCTTTAATTAGTTTCTTTTTCACCCTTGATACAGAAATTTTTATTGTCTTGTGTGCACGAAAAAATTAGATATTCTGCGCTTACTTCCAAATCATATAACCGTCTAAATCTTTAATGAGAAATTTTTATAAAGCACCATTTTTTAGTACTAATTAGCCATCTATAGATATCGTTTGTTATATTACGGTTTATAAATATATTTTATGTGGTTATAAGATATATTTGATGTATTTAAGTTATTGTATTCATGAATACAGTAGCAAAAATAGGCGTGAATCAGGAAAATCCAGCTAATCAGTTGTTGTATTTGAGTGTATTCATGGAGTAAAACACGGGATTACAACTGAACAGATTATTGTATTCGACTGTATTCACGGTGTGAAATAGGGGATTACACTGTTTTTAAAACGAAAAGCGAATCAATTAACATAATAGACTCCTAATATAACTCAACAAACTCAACTATAACACACAAAATTTATATTTTTCAGTTATAAAAAAGATTCTCAACCGCAAAATACCCCAAAAACATAGCAATCTTAGAAATTATATAATACATCTGAATACATAAATTATATTAATTAAAAATATATATATGAATACATTCATGGCATATAGCGAGACAATGGATACAATGAAATGGATAGAATACAGAGGGATACATTGAAATACAATGAGGAAAAAAGATACTGAATACAATGAAATACATGGAATACAACGAGATACATTGAATTACAATGAAAAAAAGATAGTGTATACAATGAAATACATAGAAATACAGTGAGATACATTGAAATGCTCTTAAAAAAAAGGTAACAGAATCTTCAAATTGCTCAACCTCAAACTTCAGACGACCTATTTTAGTCGACAATTTTCCGACGACCCATCGGATTCCGCCCATGATTCCATAAGCAGCGATGAGAGAAAGAAGAAGAAAACAAGAAAGATTGCTGAAGAAGAAATCACTGAAGAAGAAATCGCTGAAAAAGAAATCGCTGAAGAAGAAATTCAGCAGTCACTTTGCTGAAGAAGAAATTCAGCAGTCAATTCGCTGAAGAAGAAATTCAGTAGTCAATTCGCTGAATAAGAAATTTGCTGAAAAAGAAATTCAGCAGTTAATTCACTGAAAAAGAAATTCAGCAGCCAATTCGCTGGAGAAGAAATTCAGCAGTCGAAGAAGAAACATATTGGAGTTGACTCCTTATTCATGTCCACGAAACTTTGGGAGAAAAAGAGAGTTGATATTAGAGGAAGAAGTCCACGAAACTTTGAGAGAATGGGATGTATCAAAGTAGATAGAGAAAGAAAAAAGTGTAACTGATTAGCGTATTTAGTGGCTTAGGGTTAGGAGTAAACCAAAATTAGGAATTTTGTATAAACCTTAAAAGGTATCTATAGAATATAATTTTTTTAAATGACATTTATTTAAAATAATAACCTTTGCTATAGGAGGTAAAAATTCTTTGGTTAAGTTTTTTTTAGCACGTGTGTGTTTGTAGTTTTTATTACGAAGACCTACTTTTATATTGTCTCTTTTTTTTTACCTTCATCTGGTGTTCGCTATTCGCATTAGAGCTCGACTATATTCGGATTCGTGCCGCGTAGGGTCCAATTCGAGAGGAAGTACTCCTGATCAATGATTTTTTATATCCAGGACTCGAACCAAAAATCTCTGGTTAAGAAAAGAACAGCCACGTCCACTGCACCACGTACTTTTTCATTTTTAGATATGGAAACTACTTCATAGTTGAATTGTTCCACGAAATTTCATGCAACCACTATCTAACTCGTTTAGGGCAAGATAGAAAATATCTAACAAAATAAGGTCCAACTTAAATTCTAAGAGCTAGTCATTGACCCAAGTCTTCTTTAAATAAGCAGAAAAACCCATAACTTGTTGAGACCCTACATCTTTAAAAAACCATCTACTAAATCCCAAAAATACACACTTCTCAAAAATAGTGTTCCCCTCATCCTCCTCTCATTGTCTCATTTCCAATCCCTTCTTCACCTATTTCTTCCCATTTTTTTGATTCTTGAGAAACAACAATAGCAGTTCTCCACCACCACCCAATTGGCTGGAAAACCGTGCCACGTTCAACTAAATTCATTGAGTTTAAATCTTGAATTCGTGTTTTTTACTTTAAAACATGTCGGACTCATGTGTTTGGGGTTACGTGAAATTAATAGTGAGTTTAGGCATTGTAGCTCTGGTTCTTTGGTTAAGTTTTCGTACCACGAAACCTAAATGTTCCATCAATGATTTTTACGTGCCAGGTCTTGACAAATCAGTCAACAACAACAACAACAACGCGACAAGACGCAACAACAATCTATCCTTTCAACTCAATCTGAAGAATGAAATGAAGGACAAAGCTGTTCGTTACGATGATATTACACTTAAGTTTTACTATGGTACAAATACAAGTTACCCTATTGGTAATTTTACAGTTGATGGATTTAAACAGGGGAAAGATAAAGAACTATTTAAAAGTGGGATGATTGAAACTCATAATATGCCATGGGATGCTGCACTTAAAGCTGTTACAAATGGATCTAAGGCGATTTTTCGAGTTGATGTGAGTAGCAGAATAAGGTACAAGATTACATTTTGGTATACTAAGAGACATAATTATTTTGTGGAAAATAAGGTTGAAGTTGATGATAAAGGTAGATCTGGTGCTCAACAACTGAGTTATAGTTTTGGGGGTTTTGGTCTTACATTATTTGTTTTGTCATTTTTACTTTGATTTTCCTGTTGTAAAAGGCTTGTTCTTGCTGATTACAATGGTTATTGTTGACTTTTCTGTTTGCTTTCAACAATTTTTTTTGATTTTTTTGGCTATTTGAAGGACTTGTTCCTAGAAATTGGCAGTGATTAATGTTCATATTTTCCTTTCTTTCCACAGTTATTATTGGATGATTCTTTTTATTCTGTTTGGTTTACCATTCGGTATTTGAAGTTTTATTAGTCCGATTACTCTGGATTTATGCCGTATTAGACCCACTAACGGATTGACTTTTAATTAATCTGAATTCCTAATCGCGTAAAACTCAGGGGAAGCGCTCTCTGCTAAAAAATTTTGTATTGCAAAGTCGAGACCACTAGTTAAGATAGGTAAGATTTGTGTACACACTACCTTTTTCAGATCCTATTTATAAGAATACACTGAATTTGTTGTTATTGTTGTTGTTGATGCTAGTTTAAATGTACATCTAATTTTTCTTGTAATTGTACTTCAATCATTAATAAAACATTACAATTGATTACTTAAGAATTCTTTTACATTTTTTATCTAAAAGAATATGAAGCTTTAAAGAAAGGAAAGGGAACAACACAAGAAAGTAAGACTAAAGCAATTTTAGTGTTGTTTGCCACTCTCTGCTGCATGTTTCAATCTCATCCGAAAATTATATTCTCATCCATTATTTACGAATCTATTCCTATACTCAAATAACTAAAATATCTCTGATCAGAGGCAGCGGAGCTAGAAGGTTATCTACGGATTTGATCAAACTTAATAATTTTAGTTTTTTTGTATTTGTACTAATAAATTTATTAAATATATATAAAGATCAAAAATCCAGTTCCTAATACGTGATGTCGCTATCTTAGAATTTAAAATCCATAAAATTTAAATTTTGATGCCAAACTTTGATGTGCATTCATACTTAATCAACCCTCCAAATACAAATAGATCTATGTTCACTAGATAGAAACATAGTCACTTTTAAAAATTAATTTAGGTCGATTATAAAATTTCATTGAGGTCTACCTAATGTAGTCGTTTTATTAAATTCATTGAAGTATCATATAATATACAATCAATACGACAACTTTACTTTCTTTCTGGGTGCACGTTGTCGTTTGTTTATTTATTTATTATTAATTGCTATTGTTGTCAACTTGTAATAAATTAATAGGTAAGAGAAATTGCTATCCTCCACTACTCTCCTGTCAACCACCTAATAATATAGGGACAATTGATTTTAGTGTTTAACCAAAAAATAAAATTTCGGTCAAAGCTAGAATTTAGAAGAATGCGGGTTACTGATAATCAAAAGAATATGTAGAAGAGAGTAATTTGGAGTAACCAGAGTGTAATCAGGAGAAAAACAAGTGAATCAAAGTATATTCCAATTGTGTCTTGTGTTTACAAGTGACTAGATACCTCCCTTTTATAGGTATCTTGAAGATATGTGTTTCCTCTAAATCATAATGAGGCTATTATGAATAATTAAAGACATTGAATGCTACGTTACACAATCATTGTAATCAATACAAATTCTCTAACGTATCCAGTATTTAATGTCTGTCGAATTCTGTATTTGCGCTCTTTATTATGGTCAGATCCATTCCTTTTGATAAATGATTTAAATAGGTACGGGCGCTGAATCCTTCAAATGTCCTCCCGTGCATCTTCTTTTGCCTTTGCTCGTTTTTACTACTACCCGTACCTCTTGACTAATTATAATTCTTTGACTATTTGACCAGTCCACGTGTCTCAACATGTCACTTGCATATATAAATGCAATTTTTTCCAATACAGATAGTCCCCCCACTTTCCATTTATTCATCAATTGAATATTTGGGAAGTGAATTTCATTAAAACGAGAATTTTTCACCATTAATACTATGACAAAATTGACGCTTCAATTGTCACTTCCATTTAATATTTCGTACACGTATCAATTTTCCATTGGCTCTGCAGTTTTTGCCGCCTTTTTCAAGGTTTTTATGGTTCCACTATTAACGAAGTGCCAGTTAACATAATTATGGTCTTTCTACCTCCGCACTTTTACCTTTGGCGGTTGCTTATCGGTATAAATAAAAAAAAAATTCTTTGTCTTTTATCACATAAAGCTTATTGAACACTTATTTCTCCAAATCTTTGTTGACTTCTTACTTAGATCATTCCTCTTCGATATGTCTTCTCCAAGCCCTAACCCTGAGAGAATTTTCATTACTGACTCCTTGCCCAATGCCCCTGTTAGGCACAGAAGGGGAGGTAGACTTCGTAGTTTAGGATCTACTCGAGGTGGTTCATCTATGCCTTCTTCTGATTCTAGTCCTTCCTCTAGAACCAGAGGTTCCCTTTCTCACAAATCTTCTTCTAGGGGTAAAGATCATTCTGAACCTTTACGTGAACCTTTAGTAGATGAGATAGTTCCTTCAGAATTGTCTTTTTACCATGACAGGGAATCTCTTAGAAACCAGGTTTCTGCATTAGATCGTGTCGATGCTTACCCTACTCAAATTACAGAGGTTTTGACTCCTATGGTTCGTAAGGACTGTCATTGGAGTAATGATTTTCCCATTGTTATCCCTAATCTGAATCAGAGAATTACTTCCTATTTAACTGGGTTCTCTTTTGTTTACACTTACCTTTCTACTTTAGGGTTTAGACCAGCAATCGACCCAGTCATTCTTGAATTTTGTCATTTCTTCAATGTCTGCTTGGGTCAAATTGGCCGAATCATATGGAGGGTTGTTGCATGTTTGAGGCATTTAGCCACTAAAGCTGAAGCTCCTTTTACTTTCCCTCACTTGATTCATCTTTACTCACCTAGGCTTTTTCGTAATGGTGTTTTTACAGTAGTAGCCAGGAGTAAAAGGGGGTTGGTGAGCCCTGAAGATGACAAGGATCGTGGCTGGTATGCCCGATTTGTTGCTGCCCCCACTGTTAGTTTGGTGGGTGAAGATAATGTTCCCTTCCCTGAGAAGTAGAATTTTGCACGTAGGTCTTTTATCCCTCTCGTACCTTCTTCTTTCAAGTTTATCAGCTTTTCTAATTTTACCCCCCCTTTTTTAGCAACCATGGGAGTTGTGGGGGATGTTCCCAATTTCCGTGGTTGGGTAGTTAAATTGCTGAAGATCGCACCAATGGACGGTAGATCTTGGAAAACACTTTCTAACCGCTTTGGTTGGAAGGTAATGACTCATGGTAAAAGTTCACATTTTGTTCTTTTCGTGTTTATATTCTCCTTTATTGTTTTAACTTTTATCCTTCTTTTTGTCAGGATTTGCTATTCGAGGGGTTACTGCTTCAGCAGTTGCAGCCTCTCGTGTCTCTTTGGGGACTCGTACTCCTTCGGGAACCCGTATCTCTTTAGAGAGAGCCCGAGAAATAGTCTTGGGTTCCTCTTCTGCGAAAAGGAAGGCTGCTGAAGAGGAAAATTCTTAAGAAGAGGAAAATGAGAGTTCCTTGGTAACGAGGCCACGAGTTAGGAGACACATCGTTTCCGATGACGAAGCTGAAGTTTCGGTTTCTCTTACCGAATCTACTGAAACCCCAATAATAATTCTTAATGATGACGTCACTCCCCACGATACTCGTGAGTATATCGACCAACTTTTCGTCAGTGGATTTGGTCGTGCAGATGTCGGGCCTGTTTTAGACGAAGTACCTTTATCGTCTTTTTCATTACCTGTGCCTGTGATTCCTTCTTTACCGGCCCCAACTATTTCCATTCCTTCTTCTACTGTTCTTACCTCTTCTCCGGCTCCTCCTTTGACTATTCCCCCTCCTATAGTTCATCATACTGAAACGGGCTCTTCAAGTAGAAGTGCCACAATGAGGCGGGTAACTATTGAAATTCCTACTGAGAATAGCCTTTTGAGAAAGTCAGGTCAGGCGGATATATGGCTGGAGCCTCTTATTGGCCCAATTGAAAAAGCAAAGCTGGAGAGCCACAGTTCCCTGACTTTAATGAATGATATCGTGCATGCCACTCTGAAGGTATTTTCCTTCTCTCCCTTTTTTACTTTGCAAAATTTTTCATCTTTGGGATTCCTATTTCTTCTCTTTTTTTTAGGCCAATCTTATCGGCACAGAATTGATGAAAATAATTGCTCATTTGGAGAAGATAGCACGCGACTCTCAATTGGAAGCAACCAATTGGAAGGGGAAATTTGAGAGTAATGAACTTGATATAGAGAGCTTACAAGAGATAAAGAATACCTTAGAGCAGCGAGTACGGGCTTTAACTTCAGAATTGGCGGTTACAAAAGCTTCTTCACACCAAGCAGAGAAAGAGAAAGAGCGTCTCGAGTCCTCCTTCTCAGAGCAGCTATCTAAAGCTAGTGAAGAGATCAGAGAATTAAAGGTTCGTTTAAATCAAAAGGAAGTTTACGCTAGGGAGCTTGTGCAAAATTTGACTCAAGCACAAGAATACCTCAGAATATCTGCTGATAAGGTGCGTGCTTTAGAATGCTCTCATGCCTCTCTTCAAGCTTCCCACATCTCCGCCTTGGCTAAAAATGAAGAGCTAAAAATGAGATTGTTGCTTGGGAAAAGGATTATGAGATCCTTGAAAAAAATCTGTTGTTGAGGCAAGTTGGGCTTTTTTGAATTCCCGTCGTGATACCCTACTTGAAGCTGGCCAAGAAAACTTCAACCTGGAGTTGGAGTTAGCTAAAATCAACGAAACCATTGAAAAAGCTCAACAAACTCAGGACTTCCCTTCTCCCGTGGATGAAGTTCTCGTGGCTGAAGCTCTCATGAATGCTGAAGCTGATACGGGTATCATGACTATTTCAAACCCGATCGAGCCCGTTGCTTCAAGCCATGTTGAAGCCACGCCTGCTGATGCACCTACCCAAATTGAGCCTGCTGCTATTGACGTTCCTGCCTCAATACCACAAACTTCCCAGTGACCAGTTTTAATCATTCAAATGATTTTGTTTTTGTTTTGATTTTGGAAGATTGTGTAATCAAACCCTTAACTTCATTTGAGGGTTGATTTTAGGAACGTCAGTCCCCAAGTCTTTTAATGAGGCAATCTAAATAATTTCGTAGTTTTATGACTAAGTTCGAACTTAGTCTTAGATTATTTTTACATATTAAGAAGTTTTTTATCTTAAACTTCTGCTTACTTTATTCTCACCTTTATTTTAAGGACTTACAGAATAATTTGCATTTTTGTTTTCCGAAA